CCATCATCATACTCATCAGCATCATCATCATCATCATCACCATCGTCAACATCGTCATCATCACCATCATCATCATCATCGTGCATCATGATCATCATCATTATCATCATTATCATCCATCATCATCATCATCAGCATCATCATCCATCATCATCAGCATCATGATCATCATCTTCATCATCACCACATCCTCATCATCCTCGGCATCCTCATCATCACCACATCCTCATCATCCATCATCATCATCCTCATCATCATCATCATCATCATCATCATCATCATCATCATCATCATCATCATCATCATCATCATCGGCATCATCATCAGCATCATCATCATCATCATCAGCACCATCATTATCATCATCATACTCATCGTCATCATCATCATCGTCATCATCATCATCATCATCATTCATCATCATCATCACCACCATCATCATCATCATCACCATCATCAGCATCATCATCATCATTCAGCATCATCATCATCATCATCATCATCATCATCATCATCATCATCATCATCATCATCATCATCATCCATCATCATCATCATCATCATCATCATCATCATCATCATCATCATCATCATCATCATCATCATCATCATTATCGACTTCGTCATCATCAGGGTTAGAGGTTAGGGTTAGAGGTTAGGGTTAGAGGTTAGGGTTAGAGGTTAGGGTTAGAGGTTAGGGTTAGAGGTTAGGGTTAGAGGTTAGGGTTAGAGGTTAGGGTTAGAGGTTAGGGTTAGATTAGGGTTAGAGGTTAGGGTTAGGTTAGGGTTAGAGGGGTTAGAGGTTAGGGTTAGAGGTTAGGGTTAGAGGTTAGGGTTAGAGGTTAGGGTTAGAGGTTAGGGTTAGAGGTTAGGGTTAGAGGTTAGGGTTAGAGGTTAGGGTTAGAGGTTAGGGCTAGAGGTTAGGGTTAGAGGTTAGGGTTAGAGGTTAGAGTTAGAGGTTAGAGTTAGAGGTTAGGCGTGTCAAAAATCCGCCGCGGGACCCCCCCTCCCCCCCTCAGACTCCCCTAACCACCACTTAGAACACGCCTCGCCCCTTTGCAGAGACTAACTTGGCTTTTGCAAAGGGGTCGGCGGATTTTTCCGGTTCAGGGGCTCGCCGTCCTTTGTGACAGGAAAGCAGGAGGACACGCACAAGTTGCGCTCCGACGCATATTTTCATGATCCTGGTTTGAGACTTTTGGGTTTGCAGTTTGGGGGAGTCCGTGGCCCGCCGTGTGAGCATCTTTCGTCGCCTCAAGCTGTTCGGACCACTTGCCTGTTGAAACCCCAGCCCGCGGTCCAGGCGAAGACGAGTTTCCTCAGAGCTTGTGCGCCAACCGAGAGTCCCTTCATGTGCAGGGGACGGCCAAAAGGCCTCAAACAGAGCTGCACTATGTCAGTGTGTGTGTGAGAGTTATGAGGTTGTCTTTAATCGAAGCCAAGCGCAAACCAGTCGTCTTCGCTTCAGGAGTGCCAAAGCAGGGAGCTCAGAGAGGGGTTAGGGGCTTGCCGAGCAGCTCCCAGAATCTTGAGAGTGGACTTGAATGAGCCACTGAGATTTGAGTCAAACGAGACTCCCCGGGACCAACGTGAACCTGGCACCTTTTGGTTTCCAGCCGAGGTGAGCCCTATACTCTCCAACAATTGCGCCTTAGGTGAGTCTTGACATGAGCTCTTTGGTTGACACTCTCAAAGATGGTGAGTCGACATGAGTCGCCAGGTATTTTTCTGCCAAAGGTTCAACCAATTCAGATGAACTGATACGTACTTATACCCATGCCAGTTGTCATGGCTTTTTTGAGTGCACACCTTTCTTGGATGGTTTCTTCCCTGCAATCGAGTCCAAGCAAGTAAACATCACGCCCATATCAGGTGAGGCAGAATCTTCAGGCCGATGCCGATACTCATGACCATGTTCGAAGTGCGCATCTGGCAAGGGGGCTATCCCTTGGACCCTTCTGTGGCCGCGCGCAGAGTACCTGCAGGGATCCCAAAGTTGCGACCCTTGCAACAAAGGCTTCATACAAAGAAACAGACACAAAACAGCAATGGGCGGGCGGTCGCAGCCATAGATTGGCGCGGCGGCCCTTCTACATGGTTTTTGTAGCACCAGGTTTTGATGGTGACTTGAATGGCTACGGCGATGAATTTTAACAGGGAGCCACCTCACGAGTGGTTGGTGGACTGAACCCCGGCGGGGGCGTATTGAAGAGAAGAATCCCTGAGATTGGAAAGAGAGGTACCTGGAGTCTCCACGATCCCTTGAGCGTGGTCCTGCCCCCTGCAAACATTTGCACCCACATGGCGGTAAAATCAAATCTACCAGGGACCCCCTGAATAGTGGTTGGTGGACACAAATCCCCACCTAAATGATGTGCACCACAGGCGCTCCCTATTGAGTTTCACACCAAATGAGTTTGTGGCTCACTCACCTCTGGTCCCCGATAGGAGAGTCAGCCGAAGCCAAAGCGGCGCCAGGCCGGTTGGGGGGCTGGGCAGATTTTGTTGGACCCTATGCTGGGGCGATTTTTATGTGGCTTTTCATTTCGCATCCTCTGCATTTACAGTTCCTCTCTGTTTGGCTTTTGCTTTTGGCGGCTTGTTGCATCCTCTCCTTTCCCAGTTGGTTTTTTTCATGGGCTTTGAAAGGACAACCAACCATGTTGCGCTTCCGCCTAACTGTGTTCTGTGCTTTTTTGGGTGAGTACCCTCTTTGGGACTATGGCATTAGGAGAGACACCCTTGAATCGATGGTTTCCACTACCCCCAAACTAGTGCCTAGACCTGCAGGGGTTTAATTGGACACAAAACGCCACGAAGCCAGGGTATATACCATATATCGGGAGTGGATTGGCTGGCCATAGAGCGATGGATCCACTGCTTTCCCATGGCTTCGTGCCAAACAGAACCCTTTCCAAAAGGAGACTTGAAGCACGGCCGGCCACTTGCCACAGGGTACCCGAAAAACAACCCCTGGGCGTAGCCCGGGGAAATAATCTTACATGTGCACTTCCATGTAGGGGGAAAGGGTGACTGCATCTTGAATGGTAAAACCACTACTGTACTCCAAACCTCTCTGGTATACCCAGATGAGTGGATTGGGGTAGTGGGCGCCATTTTGTGTACACCATGTTGGACAACTGGAACCACCCCCAAACCGAAGCCATTTGGTACAACTGGAATGCATTGGTTCATCACACCCGCACAACTTGGCAAATCAATGCTTGGAGACCCAACACTTGCACCCCCAAGCCTGGCAGAGTTTGACAATGGTAAGCCCAAGTCACCCAACCTCACGACTTCACGCACCCTCCAAACCTGGAAGGCTGGGGAAAATGGGCGAAGCCGCCCAGCCAACATCCGAGCCACTGAAGCCGAAGCCGCCGAAGCCGAAGCCGCATCGATTCCCAGGGCCTCGAGGCGCTGCCCGGACTGGCGCAGGTGGTGGCCCTGCTGCCGCCGGCCAAGAGGCGAGTGGGGCGGGGCGCGAGGGGCGCGGAATCGGCGCGCGGGGCGAGGGGCGAAGGGTGAGGGGCGAGGGGCGGCCTCTGTACCCTCCAACACGGCTCCGAACTTCCCTGGAAGAGGACATTGATCTTCCGGGCACCCCACAGATGCTATGTTAGTGGGAGGAGGGGAGGTTGGTTAGAAATAGATGGCACCAGTTTGTCAGCCGCAGATTGTTTACTCAGTTTAAGGTACTGATTTACATGGAGAGCTACATTTGCTGCTCAGCTGGTGCGCCGGGGTCAATTGATATTATTTAATTTTTTTAGGGGTCTTCTGGCACTCCATGTGAAGAGATGTGGGGTATTGTCCCTTCAGAACAGGCAGCCACAGAACAAAGGCCCAGCTACTATCTTACAGTCAGTTGCTCAGTGCCACCCTTCAGTTGCTCATGGCACCCTTCAGTTGCTCAGTGGCACCCTTCAGTTGCTGAGTGGCACCCTACTCAGTGCCACCCTTCAGTTGCTCATGGCACCCTTCAGTTGCTCAGTGGCACCCTTCAGTTGCTGAGTGGCACCCTACTCAGTGCCACCCTTCAGTTGCTCATGTGGCACCCTTCAGTTGCTCAGTGGCACCCTATTCAGTGGCACCCTTCAGTTGCTCATGGCACCCTTCAGTTGCTCATGGCACCCTTAAGTTGCTCAGTGGCACCCTTCAGTTGCTGAGTGGCACCCTCAAATGTCTGTGTTTGTTTGGTGGGACCCACTTGAAGAGAGAGAACTAAGCCTACTTTTCTTTTGGCTTCCCTACTGAATAAGCCGCCCTTGAAAGGGTACCCCGAAAAAGACCAGACACCTAAAGGCCTTTGGCTTTGGTTCGAACCAAAGGGTTGGTCGCACGGGCATACCATCCCGCCCCTCCCATGAGTCACGTACCATTCATGTGCCTAAGGATAGGGCATCTGCTTGCTTGTATCCCGGAATGGATGTTTCCAGAGATCCGTTGGCGTGCCTGGAAGCATTGCCATTCGGTTCCCGTTGGAATTCCTCTTTAACGCCCTAACGCCGGTTGAGGTAAAGTGGGAGTTGGGGCGTGCTGTGCACTCCAGAACTTGAGTAAGACATGGGATTCCTTAGGTGCTTGGAGTGTATTAACGTCGTTCGGATTGTTGTTGTTTTTTGCATGATGTGTTTTACCTCGTAAGACCAAACATGGACAGCTGAGTGAGTCCGGTCTCGCGATTCGCCGAGACCTCGCTTAGACGTGTGGGGGACCAGAATGTCTAACTGTGAGATGGGTATGGGTCAAAATTACACCACCAGAGGACTGCAGGTAGTGCCTGTGTCCATGTACCCGGGCAAGCCATTTTGGGGACCGATTTTTGACCCACGGCCAGATTGCTCGGGGCCAGAGAAGCCGCAGTCCCAGCTGGGTTTTCTGCTCAGCCGGCCTCTGCCTGAGGCGCCGCTGATGCATATCTTTTCACCGACCTGAGCGCGAATTCGATGGAGAGCTCTCTGAGCTCGTGGGAACTGGTGGTCAGCTTCATGCCAGGGAATGAGGGATGAGCTGACTGAGAGAAACTTGAACAGTTCTTTTGCTTTAAGGGTCAGGCTTCAATAAGCACAGGTAAGCACAGGTAAGCCTTTCGCTCAAAGGTTTTAGGAGGGTTGGCATGTTGCTGCTGGCGCCATATCGGGGTTTGGGGTAGACCTCGCTTGCCTTCATCGTCCTGCCCTCACCGAACAATATTGTGAGTCCCACAAATCGACCGGGTTTCCTTTAGACATAAATTGGGAATCGATCCGAATCCTTGAATTTCCAGAAGCGCAGGATTTGCAAAGGACGATGTTCTATTTGAATTCAAACCTCGCAAGAGACATTATCGACACAAACACATATAACATAAATGAATTAACAAATGGCCATATAATGATATTTATTCATAACAATATAGATCTTATTATATTTGATATTTATAATGAAATGATAATTTAAATAATGAAATTAGAATTATATTTTATTAATAATTTTATTATAGATATTAATTTATGAATTGATATTATGTTATTTTTTTGAATTTTATATTATTATTATTGTAATTTAAGATAGAATTATTTATATATTTGATTGAAGATTTATTGATATTGTTTTATGTGAATTTTTAATGATTTTGATTGATTCATTATTGTTGATGTTTTTTGATTTTATTAATTTTATTATTTATTTTAATTTGATATTATATTTTTTTGTGAATTGGTATGGTTTCAAAATTATGTTTGTTATATTTTGATAAATTATTAAAATGATATTTTAACTGACTTGAAATTTTGGATTTTGCATAATTTTATTTAGAATGTTTGTGATATAATATGGCTAAATTTGTTTATTTATTTTTGTTGTATGTTTGTATATATATATATTTTTTTTTTTTTTAGAATTTGGTGGTTTTGCTTAAAATGTTGTTTTTTTGTTTTTTTTTGTCTTTTATGTTGTATGTTTGTATTTATATATTTTGTATTGTTTTGTATATTTTTATATATTTTAAATTCGTTTTTTATCGGATTGCTTTGGCTTATATTTATTTTTTTTTTATATATTTTCTTAAAAATGATATATTTTTATATTTTGATTTATTTATTTTATATTTTAATATTTTTATTATTGTTTTTTTTGTTTTAATTGCTTGCCTGTCTTTATCTCGCTCTTTCTTTCTCTTCTCTCTTTTTCTTTCTCTCTTTCTTTCTAAAAAAGAAAGGAAGAAAAAAAAGGAAATATCTTTCTCTTTTTCTCTGGCTTTATCGCCTATAGGATGAGGAATAATTTGTTAGATCTTGTTGGGATAGCTTACCTAGGTCTTATTGGGATATTGATTAATCTCTCCCGGGACTGGAGATACCTTTGGGAAATTATTGCTTCCTTTCGGGTATCTTCGCTCTCTCTCTCTCTCTCTCTTTCTCTTTTTCTTTTTCTCTTTCCTCTCTCTTTTTTTATCTTTCTCTCTTTTTTCTTTTTCTTTTTCTATTTTTTTCTCTATATTGGTTTTTAAGTTTTTCTTTTGATTAGTTTTATGGTTTCTTTCTGTTTTTCTTTTTTTTCCCCTTGATATTTTTGTTGGTATTGTCGTTAATGGAATTAGCGGGTTCTCTGTAGTATTATATATATGTGATTTTGTGTCTTTTTATTTTAATGATATGGGGGGAATTGTTTAAAAATATGAATTCTATTTATACATTTTTATTTGATTTATTGAAATGATTTTGATTTGGTTTTGAATTATAATTTACTTATTGAATTATTTAATTAAATATTTATAATTTATATTATGATTGTTTTCATGATATTGTGATATGTATTTTCTTATACCCGGAATCATTATTTTATATTTATAACAAATATTTTTAAAGGATAATAAAGGCTATAGAATGGGAATTAAACATATACAAGAATATTTCATTTATCAATTTAGATAAAAATAAATATTTTCGATATCATTATATGTTTTCCCCCAAATAATTTGTTTTAGCAAATAATAAGATAAACCACAATTTACAATCCCAATACAAGACAAAATAAAAAAAAATATAATATATAAATATTTATATAGAAATTAATTTTATCAAATTATATATGTTTTGCTTAATAAATATATAATATATTTTGAATTATATATATAAAAAAAATAAAATAGAATTAATTTCTTAATTATTCTTTATTATAATAAATTCAATATAATATTAAAATATATTCTTAATATTAAATTAATAATTATAAATATAAACATAGAACCATTAAATATTCAATTATATCCTTTTCGAAATTAAAAAATCAAAAAAAAATATTTAAATATGCAATACCTATTAAATGTTTCCCGAAAACAAACTATATATATCATATTTAATTTATTTCCTTTAATATATATAAATCTAGAAAATTATTTTATTAATTTATAGTTATTCAATATTTAAAAATTGTATTTATTTACCAACGCTCTTAATATCTATTTTGTCAAATTCAATTTATTCATATATAAAATTCCAAATCAAAATAAAAAACCCAACCATTAATACCTAAAATAAGACCAACAAAATTTCAATCACCAAATTCAAAATCCAATCAAAATTCTATATTAAAAAACAAATTCTTAATTCCATTCAATATAAAAAACATATTCTAAATCCTAATATACCAAACAATCATAACATTTCATTATTCAACTACATCAAATTAAATCCATATATATATTATTCGAAAAATAAATATACTAAAAACACAGATTTTTGCATTAATCCGAATTATCAGAGTCATTAATACTTCACACCATAATAATATATTCAATAATTACAATTCCTATTATAAATATCATCCCCCAAAAACCTCACCAACAAATAATCGAAAACATTCTAAACCCATACAATTTATAGCTTCTCAATATTTCTTTTACAAATCAATTATATATAAAACAATATAAAAACAACCACAATATTTCATTAAATTAATTCGATTAATATATCTTTCAACAAAATCAAATATTAAAAAATTCAATAATTTCTCAAAAAATTATTCAAATTTAATATTACTTAATATTTTTTGTTCAATACATATATTTAATACATATATAAATTATATATATATATAGTTTATTTATTTTGGGTAATATAATTTTAATTTTTAAATATGTAATTTCAACATATAATTAAATATATCTAATTCTTTATATATCATTTAAACCTAGATAATTATATAAATAATAATAATTTATTAAATTGTATGATTAGTAAAATTCGAATTGCGGAAGATTAACGATTAGATCATCAAGAGGTAACTTAATTATCATAAATATAAATATTACATATTACCGACATATATCTCGTTTATTTACACGGTCTTAAGCATTTATTAGTAAAACTCATCTAATCACCACTTAATTAAATTCGGCGATGAAATTTCAGTTTGCAACTTTTAGCCTTTGCTAACAAGCAAATTTGGAAAGCATTATCTAAATTTACGTAGACAAAAATATTCTAAAGGAGATTTTTATATATATTCGAAATATTTGTTTTTAAGTATATATAGAAGAAAAGTAATGTTTAAAATAAGATAGTCGTATGTAAAATAGAAATAGTAACGATGCCCAATATTGCTTGCTCCGCAATTAGAATCCGGCGATTTGGGGGGGGGGAGGAATTAAGCAAAATAATTTTAAATATAATTTCTATATACTAAAAATTAAATAAATAATATAAATTAATATTAGATATTATAGTATATAATTATATATAATCATCACACATACCATTATTTCATCTTTCAATTTCTCAATTTCATATATTTCTACCTAATATTTCTCTATCCATACCTTTATCTCTCCATTTTTTTTTTCGCAACCAATTTGAGCATTCTATTTCCATTCTATGTTTGCCACGAAATCAGTGCACAACCCTTAAAACCATAATATTCATTTACAAACTAGGCGTCAGCAAGCTCCAACGTTTTGCGGCTGCCGCGAAAATATGCTGAGCTTGTCATGCAAAGTGAGCTTCAAACGAAGCAAAAAACGCTTAACGTATTGTTCCTGTCACGCAATCGGGCTTTGACGCGTTATGGCGCGTGTCAGAAACTAGCACGGGACTGCAACACCATCTGGCGAATACATACTGACCCCCAGACCCCTTTCTATGATTAATGGTAACCCTTCTGCTATGCATTCGGAAAAAATTGTGAATCTGTAGCTGGATGATTGAGCAACTCTATATCGAAAGGAGATCATTCCCAACTTTGGGAAAATATGTTGATGTTAGAAACCGGGATTAATTTGGATTTCTCGAAACATCGGCAAACAGATGTTAACATATGCCCATCATATTTTTGGAAACGTTCGGGCCTGATGATTCGGAACATCAAGGGGCTTGATGATAGCTGACCCGGAATTGTGGGCCAATACCAATGTGCGACTGATTGACTGACTGATTGACTGGACTGGACTGGACTGGGCTGGAGTGGCTGAGATTGACTAACTGACTGACGGACGGACTAACTGACTAATGAAATCCATTCTTGATAACAATAGTGTTGTTGCAATTCATTCAAACTTTGCAATGAGTTGAACTGCATACTACCTATCTGTCATTCAACTTTGCCATGCCCACATGGGCCATCAATTGGATACATGGCGCAAATGTTCATCCATTCCGAGGCGCGGAGCATGAGCCTTTTTTTGAAACTTACAGACTTTCAGATACATTCCATTCTGCTCCTCAGGCGTGCCAGTACCTCCGCCGGAGCAGCCATCCCGTGTCTTAGCCCTTCGGCTGGTCAAAAAGGGAACTGCTTTGGGTGTGAGGGGATTTCTGCAGCCATTTCGCGCCAGTTCTGTTTGTAAAAGCCAAGCCAAGAGACGCTGATAGGGGCCGTGTTTGGGAAGAAACCTTCCAGGTCTGCGCAAAAAGGTTGAAAAGCATGCCGAACAGGAAACTTGAAACTCCCAACAAGCCCACAAAAAAAACTTTGCTTCGAGAAAGCACACAAAAAGAAAGAAATAAACACAAAAAAA